AACAGGCAAATGTCTTTACGCAGTTGTTTGTCGTAATTATTTCGGCGATGTCGAATTGCTGTGACCAGGTTGACTGACGTTACCGGATACCTGCGAATAAGTGAATAAAGTGTACTTTTTAAATCACTGAAGTTAGAAAGAAGTAATATAAAAGTTGAACACTTTATATTTGCCTACTGTCAGTCAAGTCTCATAAACCGTTAATGACCAGCTCTTGCTACGCTGGACCTCACGCTGTCCCTCGAAGATTTTCAGAAACGCCTAGTATTACCGGACACAAAAACCAGAACACAGATTGGCAACTCAAAAACTCTTTATTCTAACACCAGGATATATCCAGCATTACAACTAAAGTCTAAGAACAATTATTACAACAATAAATCACGATATTACTTCTGACAGTTTTTTCTAACTTCTTTCTGAACAGCGACCGATGAGACGATGACTGGTGTATTGATGACCCGCGAAAATTGTGGGGAAGTTAGGTTCGAGCAAACAACCATGAATCGATCGTTCAATCTTCAACTACATTGACAGCGCTTCAGTGACATTAATGGAGAGACTGGCAGGAGAAGGTGTACCAGGGGTCGGAAAATCGCCAAAAGCCTGACTCTACATTAAATCAGCCTGTACGCCTCATCAAATTCATACTAAACTCCAAAGAAGAGAGGGATGCCATTCCCAGCAACTCTCAAGCTCTTAAAGGATCAGGCATGTACGTCAATGCCGACTCACGCCAAGCAGACCACGTCAAAAGGCAATCTGCGGTGCTAGAATTAAGCGATCGACACTGAAACGGCGAAAAACCTTAAGATAAAGGGTTTTCGGGTTGTCAAGGTTTGAAATTTGGCGATCTAAAAAGCTCTCTGGGTAGGCAGTGGAAGCACCAAACTGAGAAGACAGTTTGTTACACAAATGCATACAGCCTGTTGAACAAACGGACTGAGCTGGGTAACATGATGGACTCTGTAAATCCGGATGTATTTATCATCACGGAGACATGGATGACATCCGATGTCGCTGATAACGAAGCTAACCTGTCAAACTTAGTAGTGCATAGCCTGGACCGACCAAGCTGCAGAAGAGGTGGCACAGTCATCTACCTCAAGAAATGCTCATCCATGAGTAGCACTGAAGCACTTGCTCACAAAAGTGAGTGGTGTGAGCTTCTACGTTGCATAGGCCTCATTACCATACACTGCAGTCCTGACTGCGGTGCAGACCACTTCCCATTTGAGAAGCCAGGCTCCTAGACAGCGGGATTTCCAAGTCTAGCAGTCGGTGACTTCAACACTGCAACAGTTGACTGGACAGGCCTGACGATGCCATCTTCAGACAACTCCTTTGATTATTAAATGCTGGAAACTAGCATTTCTCTATCGGTAGTCCAACATGTCATCAAGCCCACGCATTATAACTCATAGCACTCCTCTTCAACCCTGGACCTAATGTTTCCCATGGTGTGGATGTCTCACACGACATCTTCCTTTAGGAAGAAGTGCTTACTTTCAAGTTCACAGTAGCAGTATCATGTGCCCGAACCCCAGCTCGACTAAACATTTGGAAGGCTGATATATATGCTGTCGTGTCGGCAGCCAACTCAGTGAACGAGTACATGAACCCAGAATCCCAATTAGAAGCCACATGGTACCAGCTCAAACAACTTTACGCACAGGTAACTGAACCTTTCGTCCCTTTGTTTGTTCCAAAGTGTCAAAAAGACTGGCTCTCCTTGGATAAACCGAGGAGTCCGTAAATTACTCAGACGTTAACACATTTCACAATCCTGAGACCAGGAAATAATACATCACCACTGGGAACTAAGCTGTTGTAGAAATCCGTCAATCAAGGATGTAGTTCGAGGCACACCCGGCTCAAAATGAAAAGGCACGACCTAATGAAATCTCCTCATATATGAAATTCAGGAATAAAACATCTAATGGTGTCCCAAACCACACTGCTGACAGTGACACAATCGATGAAGATCAAGAAAAATCAGAAACAATGGCATGCTACTTCTCCCAAGCCTTTACACAGAAGTCATCACCCTCCATAGGATTGGCTCTGGCTGCATTAGAGGAATACGGGATAGATTCTGTTGACGTCGACCAAGAAATCACGCTCAACTGCCTAATGAAACTAGACGCAGGAAAATCAATGGGTCCTGATAATATTCACCCAGGGCTTCTCAATGAGCTATCAGCTCACATAGCCAGCCCAATGACCACAATCTTCAAGCTATCTCCTGAATGGACTAGAAAGACGCCTTAGTAACCCTCATACCCAAAAGAGGGGCAAGGCAAAGCCCTTCAGACCACATGCATATTTGTTTCACCAGCACTTTAATCAAGACGCTAGGAAGAATAATCAGCAAAAGTATCATGGTATATCTGGGAAACAACAGAATGTTATCCAGAGTACAGTACGGTTTCCGAAGAAACCTCTCATGTTTGTCAAATCTCCCCACTGTAAGAGAAATCTGAGTCATATTATGGACGGCAGAAGACCCGTTGACGTCATCTTCATAAACTTCAGCAAAGCCTTCTATGAAGTTCCTCGCAAAAGACTACTCATGAAGCTGGAAAGTATTGGTATCAAAGGCAGGTTACTAAACTGGCTTAGGTAGTTCCTTATGGATAGGAGGCAGAGTGCCAGGATCAACTTGAACCTCTCTTACTGGACGCCAGTGCGTTAGGGGTGCCACAAGGCACGGCACTCGTACCTTTCCTATTTATTTTGTGTATCAGTGAGTTACCTGAGCTTGTAGTACCCCTATACCAACTGTAAACATGCTTTTTAATCTAGTTTGTATACTTGTATTATATGTGTACACAGACCGATTTTATATGTACTTTGCAAACGTTTGTCAATTTACTTCTTCTGAACCATCTATTATAATTAACTAATATCTCTATTTATGCATATATATACATAACTATGTACCTTTATGTATTTTTTTCGTACCATTTCATATCGCCTCTTCGTTCTTATGCTTATAACTAAAATCTAGAAACTAGACTGTAAATCTCTGATTCCCTTGCATTTATTTGGTGTACATATACATTTTAAAAATGCTGTTGGTGACGATACATACAAAATGGCTGACTGAAGGCAGTCGTTCATACCATGAGTTTCGTTGAGTAAGCTCGTGAATGCAAAAACTGTCTATATGACACGTAGCAATAGAAAAATTTCTTTCTAAAAACAAAAGGAGTAACTTGCCAGGGCCTATCATATTAAAAGGTGGGAGGGTGAAGACTGCTATTCAGCGGATATGATGGTGGGGGCTTAAGCGAACCACCTTTATCTGTGGGAGTCCACTCTATTGGCAATGCACACTGGTATCAACATAATCTGGTGCCATTTCATGCACTAAGCAATTACGGTCCTCTAAAATTCCGTGTGTAAATGTAAATTAAACTAATATTACATCTTCGCCTAAGCAATTTTAACTAGGGACTTCATCAAAATAGGTATATTCACCAGGAAATTTAGCAGCCTGTCTCATTCATCGCATGATCTCTTCGATGTGTCATGGAATAGTTCGGTCATCACGGATGATAACAGAAGTGTTTAACATCCTCAAAACATACATCTAACTTATGTCTGTGGGCTATTTCTCCCTCAAATGCCCGATTCTCATAGAATAACTGCGGTAACGGCAACCATTAACTGTAGTCAATTTACAACCTTAAGATCTAAAAACAACTCGCAAACAACAAAGCCTTAAGGCTCTAAAACGCAAAAAACATTCTTTATATGCAAAATTTCCTAAGAGGGATGACTTTTTTTAGTAGTAATTCGTCTGGGCTATCAAGACAATTTTACGCATTATTAAGAACAAAACACATGAAAATATTGCTTTTTCGGCTACAGAAGCCTAAAACTAGTCAAATATAATCTATTTTCACAAAACTGAGCGCTTATAACGCCTCTATAGGAGAGAACGCGGTAACCCATACACTGCGCGAAAACATATCGTGGCGACGTTTGGCCTCACCTGTGGCTTACTCATACAACTCTTCAGTTCTCCCGCAACGTGTAATTAATCAATTAGACCAGAGAAGAGTAAAAGGAAATTTCGGGAAAATAACAAATTAGCAAATAAATGAAATGAATTTCAGGAATTTACAGTACGAAAATGACGGGTGAATAACCAACTTGCAGTTATGTTCAAAAAGTCAAAAGTAACGCGACAGAATGCGGAAAGCCGTACCTGAATGTCCGTCAAATCAGGTGACATAAAATTGACGGCGGGCAGTCTGTTCCATTGAGATGAAGCCTAAAGGAATAAGACATGGAACTTATAACCCTTAACTGCGAAAACCACCACATGAAACCATAAACAGTGAAACCATAGGTGAGCGATAACACTGAAGTTAACTATTATGGATGCAATTAAGTCTGAACCATCAAACAGAATTGTCAGTAAGAAATTACCGTAAAGTTCTCTCAATCACTTTTAATTGGCATATTCAGTCGTCAAACACTAAGGTATGTTTCTCCTCCATGACTTCATTTTCATGCTGTATGGTCGTACTTATAATCCGGAAAAGGGAAGTAAGTGACCCTAAAAATTCCTCCGCTTCAACTCCACATCCTTAATAAATCATTTTAATTATTTTTATTCCTATCATCCGTATGTTAACTGAGCAAATTTTAGTGTCACTTAATGTCTTTTCTGCATTATGAGTACGACTGTACGGCATGAAAATGAAGTCGTAGAAGAGAAATAACTGTTTACTGAGCACATTTTGTGTTTTTCCTCCCAACATAGTCGGTAAGTTTCTTGATTGTGTGGCCTTACCATTTTGAACAAATTCACGCTTTTTCTGTCAGCGTGTCTAAATTCTGTTTAGGGGAATTATGATGGGAAGTAAATTTAATATATAAAAAAACACTTGGATACAACTGCATATGGCAAAACCACAATAAAGGAGATGCGAGATTTGTAACACCCGATGCTTGTTTGAAATGATCAACACAGAAGTGTTATAGTGAGATAACTCTCGCATTTTCGAAATGGCAAGTCCACCGACTCCAAAAATAGAGATTCTAGATGACGAAGAAAATGTAATCGATATACAAACGGATGACGAGCTGTCCACAGAGAATACAGAAATTAGTGAAGCTTCTAATTATATGCGGCTTTTCGATCTGTATCCCATTATCACAAGGTATTGATAAATTTTGTGCCTATACATAAGTAAGATTTTCGGAAGAATTTAAGAAAGGACGGGGCAATGTCGTGCAAATTGAATACGCAAATGGGAACACTTTTGAGGTCAGTATTTTGAGGTAACATTCTCAAAATCACTTGTGTATATTGTGGTCAACAGATATTTTTATACTATTGACGAATTTTTAACTAGGATATTTTAAAAAATGAGAACAGAAAAGGAGATAAAAGAAGTAACGCGAACTTTCTTCACTGTTGGGAAATTATGGATGATTTTTTAGTCCCTAATTGTTTTTTAGACTGTTTTCTGCATTTGTGAATACGGAAAGTTTTTGCTACAAACTGAATCCGTTTAGATTTTTAAGTTTATACGAATGATATTCCCTGGCAGTTTTAAACATACTAACCTATTATATGTATATTGGAGGCATATCTCTACTATAGTAGTAGTGTAATGACGAATTTATTTTCAGGGATCAAAGAAATTAGCTGAATAATTTGTTCCTTGATTTTGGGTTGCGTCAGCCTAAATCACTAGCCCTGAATGTCTTAATTTTGGTGAGATATGTATTCTCTATTTTTCCAAAATAAGTATGTATATAGGCCCATACACTACCATAATATGTACCATGGAAGGGAACCCACACTGATAGAGTAATATGATTTCACTGCTTCCTTGGATGGATACAAAAAAGTTACACTTCCATCAATTATGCATATAATATAGATACAAACTAAAAAGTTGTTAAAGTTAGTACCTAATATTGAGGGTGACTTGCTGACAAGTGGTCAGTTCTAGGACAACGAAATAAATGTGATATATTAGAAACTAAACATTTCTTAGAACAGGAAGTACTAATATACCTCACCCTCTCGATTCTCTTTTAGACATCTTCAGTGAGTTTCCTCCATTTGCTGATGCAGTCTATGAAGTCAGACTTAAAATGAGAGGTTAAAGTCCCTCTTTCCTTAGCCCTTTCTCTTTCAGCTCATTCTGACATAACTTCCAGCTACTTGGATATAATATTCAATTTAAGTCCTACATACTAGGAGTATAACCAAACATTTATCCTGCTAGAAACTCAATAAAGTGTTGCAGTGCACAAGATTTCGGGTATTTACTTACAGAATCTCCTAAATCTTTACACTGAGAAAAACTAGACACTAGAAATTTTTAATCAAGCAACCACGAAAAATATTACCAATTGAATACAGAGTAAATCTACTTATTGTGGTAATTCCCACTGACTATGTGACAGACTATTCAGCTGAGACAGTAAATCATTTTATCACAACAGCCTGCCAAAGTCATCATACACAAACCACTTATTATTAATATCATTACTTTATAAGCAGAAAGTCAAAAAAATAGCTTGATTACTGACGGGATGTTGGTAAAAATGTGATAGGAAGAGGAAAAGACAGCATATAATATCTGAATGCAATCTCCAATTCATTGAAATCAAAACAAAGCCCTTCAAGTTGTAAACAATTATCTTTCAGATACTTTTAAACGAAACCACCCATTGTCTTGGGTTTCACAGATATATAACACTGTAAAATACCTAAGGGAAAGCAACAAAATTAAATCAGAAAGGATGTTGACTTTATCTCATTAGAGACAACTTGGTCAAGCAGTCTAGAATAAGCATGGAATTACACATCTCTTCAAGAAAATGCTCATTTTTACATTTCAAAGAATACCATCATAGATGTTTTCTTCCTTTATGCATGTTGAGCATCATGCTGTTTAGTGGTAAATTTTGTTGAATTTTAAGTGTGAAGAATAGGTGTAGTATAACTGAATACGACAAAAATTGATGGCGAAAAATTTTGAATCTTCTCACTGCTGTAGACTTGTCACATTCATTAATAGAACTGAGAATACTAACACAGCTGGCAGTTAAATGTACCCTCGAAAATTTGATCATCGCTGGTGTATTACTTACCAAATCACTGAAACAATAGACTGAGTTGAAAAAAATGGGTAGTATAACTGCCCGTAAAATAACGTCCTAGCTTTCCTAGCAGTTAACAGAACTCAGACTTCGGTCCATCTTTGATAGCACCAGTTTGCATAACTAGCTTTCATACTTTGTATTGTGCTAGTGCCTGAAGAACAAACCATATTCAGTCAAACGGTTGTGTGTGGTTGGTAAGCATTCTACAAGTGAATCACCGAAACGCTATTCGACCAATTACGTCATCCGCAAACTTGATAGCAAACATTTTGCAGGCAAGTGTAGGCTGTTACCACGTGAATATGCTAGTTATAATCCGGTGGACTAGTAGGTTTTTTAATCATCGAATGCATAATTAGTGTACTGAATCATCCCAATGCATTTTCATAAACGAATAGTCAGGGCAGGCTAGTCCTGTGGTATCCTCTTAAATTTGACAACGAGGAAAGGTGTGCCTACCATATTGGGATTTTCACTCAAGGCGTCCTAAATGCCTTATATTTTGACAGATTCTTCATCTAGAACAACTGTGTCTTCTGAATACTCTTGACCGACGAAACTTGGAAAACTCAGCCCTTGGAAAATTGTAGTTTATCGAGCTAACATCCACCAGCAAATCCATGATAAAATTAAATAGAGTTGGTGACAGAATAAACATTCCTGGTATTTTTATGAAAACTGCCCATAACATCTTAAATAACCTCACAAATTGGACTAAAGTATTTGGTTATTCTGACCTAATTTTTTAAAAATTGCCACAGCACAACTGAATTATTACTATCATTAAAATGCGCAAGCTATTTTAAGGATATATAATTGACTTAACAAGGAAAACAAAACGAGTTGTTCCAGAGAAGACAACAGTCTTTAGTATTACGATAAACCAATTTTCAACGAGAGAAGCAATTAAAATTTCAGCAAAAGAAACATGCCGAACAACTTCGATATTCATTTTTTCATCAACTGTGTAAACTGTCTGACAATGACTGATTTCAAAGACTGCATTTCACTAAACATTATGTATATATATATATATTATTGTTTCCTTTAGTTCTTAGGGGAAAATAGGAATTCAGCCGCACGTCTCCATTGCGTTCCCTTCTCTGCAAACGTCTTCACCCCTCTCCAAGTCTGCCCATACGCTTTCATCTCCTCTTCACATGACCTACTCCATGTCACCCTCACACTGACGACCAACTCGCCGCTTCCCATTCGGGTTCCACTCGAGAAATGGCCTGGCATTTGATGTCACTTGATGGTTTCCTCAGAGTATGGTTGACCAATCCACCTCCACCCATTCGCTGCACAATCGGTTCCCGATGGGTTGGTTCGCTCACAGAGATCTTTCACTATTGCTGATCTTTTCTGGCCAGCTATCTGATCTTAAGTATTGAGCGAAGACAGTTGTTGATGGAGGTCTGTAATTTTTTGGAAGTGCTCTTCATCAGGCGGAAAGTCTCTGATCCGTATAGTAGCACTGACTTCACATTGGAGTTGAAGATCCAGATCTTACTTTTAATGTTGAGTGCTGTTGACGTCCACATAGACTTGAGAGAAATGAAGGCTTGCCTTGCTTCCCGATCCTCGCTTTGATATATATATACTTAACAAAGAAAGAACGAATATATTTACTGAATAATACGAGTTCGTTTTATCTCGTGGATTCTTTTCAAGTGCGTATATTCTAAGAGTATCAAAATATAAGTTATTAAATTAGTAAACATACTTCTAACACAGTGATGTCTAATTACGCATAGAAATTATAAGCAACACAATTCCAAAAATGATATAAGTTAACAAATTGTTCATTGTTAACACTGAGTAGTGACAAGCTCTTATCATCCTGCAAATATGTTTATTCTTTCGTTGTTCATACTAATAAAGGGAACCAGTTGTATGATATATATATATATATATATATATATTCACAAGCATTAGTGTAGGTGTAGAGGACACACCATATAAATAATTGATAATTATTTCTGAAATATAGTTTTAAATAAACGCCGGACTCATTACTTCTGAAGATAAGTACCGAAGAAAGCTAAGGTCAGAGTCTGAATATCTTGTCCTCTGTAAACTGTTTAACTCAATTCAGTATGTTCATCAGGTGCAGCAAGTAGTAGAATAGTTTGATTCAACAAAACATGTTTGGTAAATAATTTATTCTTCACAATCATATTAATTCACAACCTCAAGATGAGGTTCAATATTCTACTTAGAGAAAGTATGTGACGCATATTTATTGGAAGTTTGAATTTCGCGTTGTTTGTTCCTTCTGGTCCGAAACATTTGGTCTCTGCTAAGACAAAAGGTTCTAGGTTCGAGTACTGCAGGGGACATTATCACTCTGAAGGATGCAGTTACATCCAGTTTCAGACAGAACGAAATGCATGTTTTGCATTCCACTGCAAATCACTACCAATCAAATAACACCTATTTCATAATATATAAGACTAGTGTAATTAAAATTCGGGTGAAAATGTTCATCAATGATGTATATGTATGCGAAATCAGTGTAGATGAAAACTGAAACTTTTGGATTTTAAGACAACATTATTATTCACTAAGTGAGTTTCGGGTAATGTTCTACGCTTTTCTTATTGCTATCGATCCCTGATAAAAGCCAACATAAAATCTGTTGATGGTTCTTATTTAAAGCATTTTCAGGAAAGACACATACCAATACTCCATCCGGTTGCTTGAATTATGCAGATTGTGACGGCATGACAAATGTTATATAAGGTTGTTCCATGCAATATGATCAGCCTCTGGGTTATTTAAAATCAAAATCCCAAAGTATTTTCTGACTAGTAGATTTTTCGTCACCATTTATGCGTATACAATACAAAATCTAGAAGCTGTTTGAGAATTTTTCATTTTTTCGAAGTTTTGATAGATTTATGCACTTAGTGTCACATAACCATACACTATTTCCCTTAAACCCTGGAAATACAGACATCCAGTTTAATCTACCTACTGGTTATGATTAATTTAATACGATAAATTTAATATATTCTTTTCCTGTTTTTATATCAAAAAGGGGAAAACTGTGAATGATTTGCTGCAAGGCCATGGTGAATTTTATTGGTCAAAGACAGGAGCAACATATACTGGTGACTTCAAAGCCAATACGATTACGGGGCGTGGAAAAATTGTTTGGCTGAATAAAAGGTTACTTCTAACATCTTACATCTTTATTCTCTATTCAGTGAGTATGTTGGTGATGTTGTTAATGGAATTCGACACGGAAATGGAAAATATACGGATTCCAATGGACTTGAATACATTGGTCAGTGGAAAAATGGCAAGAAACACGGGAAAGTAAGCAGTTCAAAAAACCACGAGCTTTAGACTGCAGTAAAAATGCCAGTTTCTGAGAAAATACTGAAAGTACCCACGTTATTACGGAGCAGGAGCCAAAAATATATCTAGATTTAAGTAATTTCTGGTTTCTCTGCAACAAAAATATCTTATTTCATTAACTGGAATGATCGAATGATACTGGTTTTCAACGATTTTCTAACCGATGTTGTTCATGATCCAGTTTGAAACCATCAAAGTGTTTACATAATCAGCTTGGTCTGTCGTTACAAATTTTTGAGACTATTTGTGTAAAGTCTAAAAAGTAAAAAGAAATACTATATCACTTCATTTAGGTGTCAAGACGTTTAGTCTCATGAAAACGTGAGAAACTAAGACTAAACTATGCGATTACAACTGGATTATTTATTATATTATACATTTAGTCACAAAAGCTCGGTGCAGTATGGTGCCAAGAAGATACGTCTCATGGTAATAATAAAACAATATAAGTCGAAAGTAAGAACATAGGCAAAGAAGGGATAAAGTACTTCATCTGGAAATAAAATAGTCATATTTAACAATTTCAAACAACATTCGTCAATTAACGTTGGAAATGGAAGAATGAAGGAAAGTGCTGCAATTTCGCAATTGATTGCTATTCTTGTCCATATCCGATAAAGTTTCGAACTATCTCTCGGACTCCAACCACTGAGTCGTGACGACCAACCGATGCTAACCCAACGCAAATATTTCTCATCCCACGACGCCAGGTCATGGGCTGACCACCTTTCCTCATTTTCCACCCCAGGGCTAGCGAACAGAGACTTGTATGGAACCCATGGAATGAAATTCATTGTACATATATGGTGAGAGTTGGCTGTAAGTCAAAATTGGTGGACAGTAATTTACGTCAATGTTTATGTCCCCAATATTGGTCGTGAGAAAAATGGGAACAAAGGCTTTGCGTAGTCGGATACAATTAACATATAGATGATCTGACACAAAGAGATGCAAGGTTAACTTTCTGTGAGAAACAACCAATCAGAATACTGTGCTTTCTGCTAACAATAATTTATAATATGTACATGAAAGTCTATAAATACGTGTTGACTTCTTTGATAAATGATCTGTTTCGACAAAACAATACGAAGACGTAGTTTATCTGAAACGTATAATGTATTGGCGCAACACATTTCGGACATTCTGATCACACACGTACTTGTCATACACAGTTTTTATATAAGGCAAGAAACCATGAATAATTACAATACAGGTCAGATTGTGTACACGTCAAGGTCACAAAATAATGGGTAGGGAGACGCATTATTATTATTATTTTGTGACCTTGACGTGTACACAATCTGACCTGTATTGTAATTATTCATGCTTTCTTGCCTTATATAAAAACTGTGTATGACAAGTACGTGTATGATCAGAATGTCCGAAATGTGTTGCGCCAATACATTATACGTTTCAGATAAACTACGTCTTCTTATTGTTTTGTCGAAATTCATAAAGGGAACCAATTGCTTTAAATGATCTGTTGCCTGACCCTTGTCTTCTGTTGTTACACATATCCAAGCCTCTGAAACTGGTGTTTCCAGGTGACAACACTCAACGAATAGCGATCTTCACCGTGTCTAGACACACGCCGCCAGACCTCAGAACTCCTCACGCGATAATGCCATCGAACGCAAGCAATTCTATGGAGTTAGTGATGGTCGAATACGCAGGGTTTACAACTGCATATGACAGTCGCAATTAAAACAGTATTGCAAATAAGGATAATATTTACAGTCATCCTCTGCCACTGTGAAACAAATTCATTCTTTTGTATGCTCTTTTAAAACGAAAGTTATGGTAGTGCAACGGATTATACAGCCCTTTTATAGGCAAAGATTTGATTGAAAATAGTTGACTGCGACAGGATCAGCTATGGTACCTCGGCGGCACAGCGGTGGGATGCTGGCCAACCCAGCAGGCGGTTTGGCTTTCGACCGCCGGCTGACGTACTCCTTCACCTTGCTAAGCCAGGAATTAGACTGGTAAAGACGAAAAGTTGGGCGTGAGTCCAGTGACCTTACCACATAAGAAATAAATACCACTGCTACTGAAACTTCAAAGCTGCAGCTTGAAGCCCTGGGCAGGGTAAAAGAATAAAATAAATCAAGATCAGCAATGTTTAACATTTTGAGGTGTATAGTCCTAGAAATAGGATGTGTCTTTTTGAAGTGAATGGATGAAGCGGAGTTCTTATCAGCCTTTTTCTCGTCCTTAGCTAAGCTCAGTAATATGAAGGAAGTGACCCTGTTATTCCTTTGCACGATCATGGTACACAGTGTTGTTGCTTGTATTATTTTGAAATATGAAACAGTAATTCTGATATTTTAAACTTTCAGTTTTGGTTGAAACTTGATGGCGAGAAGTTCAAACACATGTGTGCCCTAGTTAAACTGTTTTAACTTGAATTTCACAGATTCCTGTCTTAAGAAACTTAAGAATATGAGTTTGCCTTGGATACACTGTCACTACCCAACGCATTTTCAAATAAACCTAAATTGTTACTCACTCTCTGAGAAAATAAGAATAATGATAGAGGTGTTAAGGGATCTGTATGATTTCTAAAGAATTCAGGTTTTCAACGCACTGCTGAAGCAGATAGATAGCTGAGTATTTAAGTGAAGGTATGCTTGAAATCAGTTACACGACATATAATCAGTTACATAAGTATCCTTAATAATAACTTACCATTATCAATGAAAACAATATGATGTGGAAGAGTGAATGATTTTGGCCAATGCCTGATAGCTTTTGCTCCCCACAGAGTAGGGCTTTATTTCAACTGGACATGCATCTCATCATGAACAGTTATCTTGTCCGGTCATTTGTGAAAGTTATCAATAACAATTATTTTGCTTAAAATAACATGTGGCTTGTCACTATTTACATTACCTTAGTGGAATGATCCAATGTCTAAATAAAATTTCTATAGAAAGAGGAAAAATGACTTATAAGCTTTATCAATTTTTAACGAATTAACTTTTCAAATTTTATAAGCCTCTGAAAAATAACGATATGACTCCACGTGCCATCCGTCCAACTGTCAGCACCAAGCGAATGGCTACAAATAAAACACAAGAATTCGTAGTTTTACCCAGAGATTGACTATTGTGAATTTCTGGGTGTTTCTGTTGAAACAAACTTTTGATTCAATAAACCTACAGATTTAACGGATGCTGTTTTGAAAACTTGGGTCCCTTTCTTCTTCCGTACAGTGACTGGAAAACAGTCTATTTTATTTAAATTAAGGGACGGTTTATAGCACTCTCGTCATACATTTTTATTAAACTATTTAACCGTGAGCATCATAGAAAACATACTGATTTTCAGCAAAACAAGTATTTTTATAAGCAGATTTTCTGCTGTAATTAAGATGTCTTAGCGTATTAAAAGCTCGAAGACTGCACTGCATGCATTAACACACGACCACACACTAGAATGGAAGAGAGTTAAAATTTTAAAAAGTAATATAGGTCGGTGGATATAGAGGTTGATTACTGAATCCTGAACTATCGAGTCTACACCCAACACAATAGAAATGACTCATCACTAATACCGGATATATGGAAGATACTACTACCAATCAAATCAAGCGAGGAAAAATAATGGAATTATATAAATGAAGTTAGAAAGTTGTGTGAATACCTTGATATGATCATGAGCAATAAATTGTGCTCGAAACGTCATCAGCAAATATCACTGTATAGTATTATATAGTATATATATTATTATATTATATAATATATTACTGTGAGACTTTATCAAGATAAATTTTACCCACAATGGAATTATACTCTACTACAGCGTACAAGTTCTATTCTTATATCTATTATTCACTGTTATTATTCATTCTAGGGTCGGTTGAATTTTACAAGTGACGGTTCCGTTTATTATGATGGTGATTGGTACTGTGGTCTACGTCATGGTTACGGTGTTTATCACTATTCTAACGGTGCAACTTATGAAGGACAGTGGAAAGATGGTAAGCGTCACGGAGAGGGAACAATGCATTGGAGTGATCGCGATGAGATATATACTGGTAGTTGGGTTAACGGTAAACAGGTAAATTTTTTATTATACCCCTATGTGCCATAATTAAAAATCTGTTCCGTTGTTTATTTTGGTCACGTCAAGATAGGGACTTACGATTCTCCAGAATGGGCATAATCACTGCTATTGTAAGCCCATTTGAAATTCTGCTTGAGTTACTGGATAATTACAACATCTTTTTATTTGCAGCAACTTATATTTGATGAGTCCATCCAACATTAACTAGACTAAGTTATTTTGACTAAACATTAGTCAGTGACTAGTGTGAAGTGTCTAATACTTTTTTGGTACAGACCGAATTCTGTCAGTCAAGTTTGCAATGTGGCTAGCATTCTACGTGACTTGCGATTGCAAGCTCGAATAGCTCAGTGGTAACGTCTCTGACTTCAGCATTAGGCGACGCGGGTTCGAATCTCAGGAGGGGTATGAGTTCCTTCAAGGTTGTAGGTACGCTTTCCTAATGAGTGCCAACTAGCACGAGACCTAAGTCCAAGACTTCCTTCCGATTGTGTCTAACCATCTAATCTAGACTAAGTTATATTGCAAGTTGATTAAACCAATAAAATAATAACAAAGAGTTTTGTTGGCCTCTGGAAATGCACTATTTATTATAAGTGTTATTGTCTTCTGTGCACTAAGCAGTTACTTTCATGTTATTTACGATTTCTATTTAATCATTAATATAGATAAAGCAATAAGAAGACGCAATTTGTCTGAATCGTGTAATGTATTTGCGCAACACATTTCGAACAATCTGATCATTAATAGTTCCAAGAGAAGGTTAAAATAAGGTACACTAAATTTTTGAAGTCAGTTTTAGGACCCCTCGACATACTGATGCATACACTTTGATAAATTTTGCCACATGAAAGAATTTCAGTGTTAAGTGAACAAAAGCAGAAGTCATTTTTAAGGTAATTTAACAGAAGGCGACAGGCGAATATTTGATGATATTTACCTTAAATGATCACGAACATGGCTACTTAGGGAATCTCTGAATGTTATTTTGTTTATTAAAGTCATACAAATATCAAATATCTCCTAATTCGAGAATCATGACCTGGATTATTTCACAAAAGAAGTGTAAGCGTTTCCTATTTTCGACCAGACATTATGGTTATTCTAATGGAACTTAAAAATACTACCCTATTATGGAAACCTCGATAATTAGAGCAGGTTTCGAACCTAAGGTCAACCGATTGAATATTAAATTCATGACAATGTAGACGAATCGGAAATGATATTTCCCCCTTAAAAGTCTCTATATTTCCTAACACCAGTATCCTTGAATTAAAAATAGCTACATATAATGCGTACGTCTTCTTCATTTACAGCATGGTTTAGGTTGTCATGCTTGGCATATTTTACGAGTTAGAACCTCACAATATTGTTTGCCCAATGTTTATGATGGTCAGTGGGCTGACGGTAAGCGTAACGGACTTGGTACATTCCACTACCCAAATGGATCCAAATATGTTGGTTATTGGAAAGATAATCTCAAACATGGGAAAGTAAGTTATAAAATTAATGGTGATTTCAGTAAATGGTATATGTATACTTCGTCTTAGTCTTGTTAAATTTAAGAAAAGCTAGGCCAGTGTGTCTGCATTATGAACGTTCAGAAACACCACGTTCAAATAATTCTGATTGCATGAATGAATCAAAAAGTATAACGTTCAAGCTACTTTCGTTTATTTTAACTTTTTTCAAATCCATTTTATTTATTTAAATATGACTTCAACTATTTCATTTCTGTCATTTATGATTACATGGGTTGATTCACTACTATAACTATTTATTGTCAAACTTATCTGACGGTTTGTGACTTTTCAGTATCTACCGATTTGAACTACTTCATTTTTTCTATTCAGAATTCCCGAATTTTTCTGGTTTGGTTCACAAACGTCTTACATAAACTGAATTATCAGTAGAATGCGGTTTTAGTAGATTAGAATTTTGTTTAACTTGTTGTGCATTGTTAGTTTTTTGGGCACATCAGTATCCAGAGGATCAGATAGCTTCGTCTTTGCAAAACCTACTGTTGCCAGTTATATCGCTTACTAATTTCAATGCCGATATTGCTGTTGTCATCACCCCATTCACCTAGCTGTTGTTTTGATCAGTTAATTTAAGAACTAATATGTAATTATGCCCACTGGATCTCATCCTTTAACAGATCTAGAAAAACTTCCCAATCGTAATTATGAAAATCAAATTGCTTCAACCATCGTTGTTTTTTATCATTCCCTGTGTATCAACTTAAACTTCAAAATGCTAAGCCGGCCTTACTCCTTGGATGTACCAACTTTTTTGATTGTCAACTCGAAAGTGAATACACCCTTTTCTGCAAACGATTTGTTGATTATGTCCTTCAGGTTTACCAACGAAACAAAACACAAATTTCTTAATACTTCTTCCTTTTATTTAAAAACATAGTCATTAGTATACTAACATGAAGATTTCAGGTTCCAACGTCTGCAGAACTATGAGTTCACACTTTTTCAAGGTCTTCAAATAAAACAAAATAACTCTTCAGTTCTTCCTGGTTTTCATTAGCTGGTTTACGATCACATTCATTTTAAAATCAGTTTCATTCCTAGTGAATATAATATTTGTATTTAACTGCAGAGTTTTTGTTAACGTAAGGGTAGAATTTATATACTGAGGTAGAATACAATTCCATATTAAAAAGGTTTATTTGCTATAGCCTGCAGTGATACAGTATCAATGACTGGATAGGGCTTTGAGTATGATTTGTTGCTCATAATCATATCACTAATATGATTTAGTATTCTTTCCGCCTTTGTGTTTTTGTTAATCCCTGCAAAGCTTCAAATTGCGACGGCGTATCATTCACGTAACAATATAGGTGTTTGAATAAATGAATAACTTTAGTCATAGCATTCAGTCGCAAGATTTTAACATATCTGAAAACACATTTTACTGACTGATGTGATAATTCCTGTTATGCACAATTGTTGTTATTATTATTACTGAAAAGGGTACACTTATACTAAAAGATGGAAGAATATTCGAGAGAACATTTTATGAAGATCGATTGGTCAACCCGGATGCTGATTCGATGCCACCAAGTGTTGACCAACCAAGTTTGGAAAGACAAGACACACGTGTACCTCTTGCCACAGGTGGGTTTAGATAAGATAATTCTTCTAGCAGTTTATGTACTTGGTTTGCTTCAAGAATTTAGACTTTTTAATATGCCGGAAACGGTGAATCCATTCTATCACAAAGCTACCGGCAAACTACTTATTAGGTCTTAAATTTAAAAGTGATGAATGTCAGTATACTTCAAAACCAGTTACCGATTAAAAAACAGTAAAGTAATCATTTGAAGCTGAGAACTGTAGGAGTAACTGAGAGAACTTTGAAACTGTTTTTGGTTAATATTGCAGGATTTTAACAGCCTCGAATACAACTCCATAAGTTGCATTTAGATGTTTTACTTATTGTTCAGCTACCACAATTACTATGACATCACACAATAAAATACTTACCTTATTTATTCATAAAACTCTTTTGAAGTACTGCTATCTTCAGTTTTAAATGATTGCCTAACCAAGTACAATCAGAAACTCATTTCTCAGTTTAAAGGTATTTCGATATTTCTCAATATGAAGAACACTTGGTTTTACCAGCCCGTACGACTGCAGTCTCATAATATCCTGTTTCGTTCATATAAGTGAAGATTTTGAAATAAACGCAATACTGTATCCAGTCAGTTAGTAGTACCTGAAGATCATCTCAGACGTCAGAGTATCACTCCTTAAATCAGTAAAAGTCAGTGTGTATACAGACCTTGCTCTTGAACGGTTTTTAACCTGATACTAAACCCCTCCCATGTCAACTCCAACAGCAATTATCAGTTCATTTAATGTAGGAGGTACATAAGAAGGACTGAGAGGAGAGGGTCGACTACATTTTCTGAACAAAGCTTTAAAAATCTTTGTATGAAAGGTAGCTAAATACTCGCAAGCGTAGTTGCCAAACATACAGTTGAAACTAGTCAAACTTTCAAAGTACTCAATAGACGGAGAAAAACTTGAATACTTCGTTTCGCAAAAGCCATTGCTATCAAAAGGTTTCAACCCAACCCCAGTATACAGAAAGATAGCTTGACTAACCTCTCCCTACTGTTATGCTCTTGTCTTTTGGTTCTGTTGCATAACACCTCACTTAATTTTCATTTTCAATTATTTAGTATAACTCACCAGGAAGTCTCCAAATTTACCTGGTTTTTGGTCTGTCCTAATTTTACTTTTCACTCCTACACCTTCGAACTCCCCATCATTTTATGTATAAATTCATTCTGTTGTTCGCCTTTGTATTGTTTATAGTCAACCCTTCTTTCCTCTCTGCCTCTCCTTCTCATCTAATTATACCATAAATAGTTGGCCTTTTTAACACTGAATAATCTATCTGCTTACATAGTTTCGGTATTATCTCGCTTATACTTATACTCAACATCACTGTGATAAAAGTAGATTCAGACTTTTGAAGCTTACATAGTGATATTGTTTGGGTGGTATGCAGTTGACAAAAACGCACGGAATAAAACTAGCTGCAAATGTAACCTGTCTTACTTTGCAGGTTTTAGTTGTTTACAGACTTACAAAATATTGTTTAATGCATTTAAAAAGAAGTGAATTTACTTAACATTTTCTAATACTGTAAGTGATGATTCTGTTTGGTGTCGTGAGAATGTAGAAATGTGCTGAGGCCTATAAATTTGTTGAATAATGAATTTTAAAGACTACAAGTGCATTTGTGTTACCTGGCCCGGATGGTTTATTTGTGAAACTTCCATTGTCTTTATAGACATCTTAAGCACCGAATTCATCAATATAAAGATGTGGTCTATAAAGGCAATGAAAGTTTTGCAGTTAAACCATTCATTCCAGAGAATAGAACCACACCAATATCATCCATATCAGCTACAAATCTCCATCACTGTAAAGGCTATACTATGCTTACTTACTATGTTAAAGATAATGTGTCAACTAGACAAAGATGACTCAGTCAAGGTACAAAAATTAAGAATTCCCGTCAGAAACCAAATTCAAATGTATATTATTAATACTGTTTCTTTTAATTACTAGAGGAAAATAGGGATTCAGCCGCACGTCTCCATTGCGTTCCCTTCTCTGCAAACGTCTTCACCCCTCTCCAAGTCTGCCCATACGCTTTCATCTCCTCTTCACATGACCTACTCCATGTCACCCTCACACTGACGACCAACTCGCCGCTTCCCATTCGGGTTCCACTCGAGAAATGGCCTGGCATTTGATGTCACTTGATGGTTTCCTCAGAGTATGGTTGACCAATCCACCTCCACCCATTCGCTGCACAATCGGTTCCCGATGGGTTGGTTCGCTCACAGAGATCTTTCACTATTGCTGATCTTTTCTGGCCAGCTATCTGATCTTAAGTATTGAGCGAAGACAGTTGTTGATGGAGGTCTGTAATTTTTTGGAAGTGCTCTTCATCAGGCGGAAAGTCTCTGATCCGTATAGTAGCACTGACTTCACATTGGAGTTGAAGATCCAGATCTTACTTTTAATGTTGAGTGCTGTTGACGTCCACATAGACTTGAGAGAAATGAAGGCTTGCCTTGCTTCGCTATCCTCACTTTCACATTCTCGTCAGTTCTGTCCACACGTAGTTGAAATGATACTTCCCAGGTAAATGGGTAGGTGAAGCAGGTTGCGTCTTTCAGATTTCTCCCATATATGTTGGCTTATTGTTGTCTGTTGTTGTTGCTTTTGCTGTTGGCCAAGAATCTTCATCACCTCTGTTTTCTCTATGTTCACCTGAAGTCCAATCTTTGATTATTGTCGATTCTGCCAATTTGTTGCTTTTCACTTGCATATCTTCCAGTTTGTGGGAAATCAGACATATATCATCGATGAAGTCCAAATCCTCCAAGTTTTTTGTGTAGGTCAAATGTATAACTATGTATTAATAGATGTGAATGAATAATAGACCTTTGGTTATATTCCAACTTACGTAGCTCCAAACTTACTTAAGATTTTAATCAGTGATGTTGACTCGTGGGAAAACGCCTTCAAGTTTTTCTGTTTATTTCTTTCGAACCTTCTGAATTCGTCTTATGCATACAGCTGAAGACATGAAGATTCTGCATATTCCCTTTCTCTTTTGGCTGAGATAAAGTCACTAAAACAGTCACTACTTTCATGTGTTTATTCTATTTACCAATATTTCGTTACCCACTGACGAAACTTTTTTGTATTACGCAGCTTCTGATGCGATGGTATATTGACGACAATCTGTTTGAAACGCCTTACGTGTCGCAGCATAGAAGAAACAACTTGACAATAATGTTGAAACTATGAATCTTGTTCCTCATACTGACTGCAGTAGATTTCTACAGTAACATCATGTTAATGAAGGTTTGTCTTGCCTCTCCAAACCCTGGCAGAGCTTGACATCTTCCTTCATGCCTTCGCCTGTAGTTGAAACAATGCTGCCTAGATAAGCTTAAGAAGTAACTGCCTTTGGATTTCCCTCGTTGACCACAATTGATGCTTGTTGTCGTTGGTTGGATATATTCATCATCTTTGTCTTCTCTATGCCCACTTGAAGTCTTATCTTCGCTGCTAGTCTCTTCTGTCAACTTGTTGGTTTTCGCCTGCAGATCTTCAAATTTGTATGGCGTTAGGCATTAATCATCCACGAAGTTCGTATAGTAATAATATTACTACTATCTTCAGTATCTAATGTTTATTATAGATTACCATCATTTAATATACATTTAAGAATCTGTATATAAGAGTTATTTCTAATTAATAGCAATGCCGTTACCTTATATTAATTGTGACTGTAAGAATCTTTATTATTCTGAAATAACTCTAAACCAACTTCAGTATGAAGCCAAAAGTTTCAAAAGATTTATATTAGAATGTGGGCTTGGGCGCACGAGAGGTTTTGGACATCTCACTTGATGCAAACATGATTAGTGCTTAAGAAGTATGTTCAGCTGATAAACTGATATACGTAAAGAAAATAATCACCCATAAAACGTCATCAGCCAATATGACGGGAAAGAATGAAATCAATCTGACAACATTAGGGTCAGTAAAAGCTGATTTTTATTCACCTTGATTCTAAAGGGGATGATATTGTACAATCAATAATCAAACAGTTAAGTAAATCACCGGTAACAGCGTATACTGAAGCGAAGCTAATCTCATCGTTTTAAACATCCTGCTAGTTAGCACACTCGAAAATCAACAAATGTGCTTCAAAAGTTAACCCCGAAATCTACGGTCTGTGACGATACAATCAGAACAAATTTGCTTTCTTAACTCTAGCTTTTTGAGACTTTCTTCACTCAAAACCTGATATATATAAAGAAATAAGGTGCTCATATATTTTTCGGCCGTTTTCATACAAACTTCATCTTTTGACATTTTTATATCTGTAGACTTGTTTTTTATTCTTTTGAGTTCTGAGAGAAATGTAGGCCGACAAGCTTTAAAGTTTCATCAACGGTGGTATTTTTAGGGTGTGAGATTGTTAGTTTAATGACCGATTTTTCCTCTTATCTCGGCTTTCTATCAGCTAGTAAATTGATATAGGTTTAAGCGCGAGAGTCGAGCACAGGCCTCCTCCGTGGCTAACGAGTATTCTGCCATTTCAGTCCCAATGCTTGAGTGGTTCATTTGTAGAGTGCCTCCACTCCTTGATATTATTTAGTGATAATTTTTATTTTTAATACTTGTGAATTCACTTATTGATGACATTGACTGCAATCATCAAGTAGTGATAGCATGCTTATCAAATTTCCATTCTTTTTTTCATATTTCAGACTGCATTTCTGATTCTACAGAGAAAAGTGGTGTTTTCAAGGATACTTCTGACAGTAATTTGTTAGAAAGTTACCTGAAGCCTCACATATCCCCCTCGGATTATAACTGCTATGAATTGCAAAATGTAATTATTCTCCCAACTTCACTTCGTTCTACACTTACACTTTTCAGATTTATTTTATTTTGGAGATGAAAGGTAAAGACGATAGTATCTGCTTTCAGACCCAAATCAAGCCAAGAGCTGACAGACGATATTCCGGTAAAACTATGAAACACAAAGAGGTAGATCTCATCACTAGCCAATGTCAGCTAGGGAGTTGCTGTGACTCCCACTGCTAATAATAATTGTTCTATTTTGGTTTTAGGCTTATCCCTTATATGTACACAGAACTCTCCTACCATGTAGAATCGTAGGTATTTCAGCTGTATGGTTCGGTGACCTTCATAGCAAAATAACCAATGTTAAAATTTCCCTGCTTTCTGCAGCTGGTTTTCCACATGGGGAACTAAAAAGATGATTTATTCGCCAGTCAAACAGATGTAACCCTAAGTTTTCATCAATAGAATACGCAGCTTTTGAAGACAGAGCATTGACAGTAATCTAACTGGTTTAGGATCAGTGTGTTTGCACCACATGACTGTATTATTCACTACTGATGATGCCACTGGGAGAAATAGTGCAAAATAATCACTAAGTACCTATTGATAAATACGACACCTGTGAACTTTAAAGCATGGTTACACATCGACCAGAAGATCGTCATAAACACTTTTTGAATAATAGATGGTAAAAACTTATTTCAAGGACAAAATACTGATAAATCATTTGTATACCACCGTCTTCTAGGGAATCAGAACGTTTTACAACTATTAGCTATATAGGACTGCATATGTGTAAAACAGATGCTTAAATAAATATAGAGGGAGGTGAAAGTTACATCTACCTCAGTTTTATGTGGCGTAGGTAATTAGGTGATACAGATCATAAAAAATACGGATTAACAGGGTAAAAGTAGTGTTATCAAGATATTACCTATGTTGTATTACCATATACCAGTGTCCTTAATTATGGGCTTACTTTGAAATACTAAGGCATAACAGCTATTTGTGAATCCTCTGATCGATGGTCACATCTGTTTAATATTGAGATGCCAGAAAAATAAAGTAGCGAAGGCTAAAACTCGATCACAGTGGCTCCGTTTCATTTACATTCACATTAGTTATGTTTTTTTTATAAACAAAAGATGTAACAGCGAAGAAAATTTTCTTTTCAATGAGTCATTTTCAAGAGCTATGTAATAGTATTTATAATTAACAAACAATTCATAAGATCACTCAGATAATGGTAACTACGTTTTATGGAAATGTACGACACAATTTGAGGTGCAATCTAGAAGGCGATGAGTAAGTGGGGATTAGAAGAGGAAAGTTGGAGTTACGTAATAAAAGTGAAAAAATGATCTATTGAATGTAAATGAGTCAAAATGGGAGTTTTTCGTGCAGTTGTTTTTTCATCTTACTGAATAACGTGTTTTTTTAATATTTTTGTACACTTTTTTAAGTGTTATCACTTTGATTGATAACAATTTCTTAACAAGGAAACTTCAGAAAGGATTTTTTCTACTTGCTACTGTGATGTTCAATGGGCATGTACACATTGACTACTATAATTCACAACTTAAAAGCTCAGTCATACGAATATTTGCCCATTTGTTTCGATTTCATGTAATCCTTTTAGATGCAAAATGTAATAACAACCTATTTGGCTCCATTGCGTAGTATATATAGATTTTATGGGAAACTTGGTATGACACAATTACCAGATAATACAGTTATACTCCGTTACGTTCAATTCTGTCAGTTCCTAAAAGACTGTAAACTTCATCTACACACAAGTTTAGCTGCTTTGGACAGAATAATTGGTAAGTTCAACTTGGAATACTTTTTACAGGCTGTTCTTTTTTCGATGTAATAGATGACATCTGACGTGTAAATGAAAACTTGCTTTGCAGAAGGGTACGAAGCAGTGGTAGGGTACTGCACCAGCTAAGCTGTGAGACCTAAATGCTAACGCGGTCATCATCACAATTAATGTCCAGGAATTACATTTAGTTCTACTCAGTGAAAACATGGAAAAAGGATAGTAAAACAAATTAATCCTCCAGCAATCTGATTAGATCCAACTACATTTAAGTGTATGCTGAAGAAAATATGATGTAGTTTTCCAGCTTAGGCTAAGTTCTTTTGAATCTGCACCTATACACCTTTCATGAAAGATGAACTTTGAGTCATTAAAATCCCTTCCGCCTCCATAATTTTAAGTTTCTTTGTCAGCAGTCACTTATCATCGCATATTGTATGCTCATCCTTAACGACAATCAGAGCTTATTGACTTTAGTGTATATAGCATTCAAACCAAACAGATCCCTGTCTGCCTCCTGAAAGTTGGATTCCAGTAGTAGAGTGCTTAATACCTGCATAATGTTTAAAAGAGTTCATACTCATGAAGAATGTTGTGGCATCAATTCTTATAATGATGACTAATCTATAACCTTTCTCGTTCTCATCTACTTTGTGTTGCGAATCTAAATAACAATCAGTGTGTTAATATTATTATTTCCTTTAATTCCTAGAGGAAAATAGGGATTCAGCCACGCGTCTCCATTGCGTTCAGTTCTCTGATAGAGTTTTCACCTGGCTCCACGTCTGTCCATATGCATTCATCTCCTCTTCACATGACCACCTCCATGTCACCCTAACATTGACGACCAACTCGCCTCTTCCCATTCGGGTTCCACTCGAGCAATGGCCTAGCATGTGATGGTTTCCTCAGAGTAAGGACAATCCATCTCCATTTTTTCCTGACTATTTGTTGCACAATCGGTTCCTGGTTGGACAATCAGCGTGTAATCAGTTATTTCTGAAGCTAGAGTTTGTTTACTTTTAGGTATTCTTTGAAAAGAACAATGTAAAACATATTTGAAATTCTGCAATTATGAGATGTACAGGGTTGTTCATTAGAGCGCTGTTTTTCAATTCAAAAACAGAAATATTTAGTAATAATAGAGATGATTGGTACCTAGGGTGGATGATTTTGATCTGGTTGCGTTCTCTGAGCTGGTTTATACAATTGCGAAGCTTTTGTTGTACTTCTAGATAACATCTTCAGAGCAAGCTTTATTATGAAGTGAACGTATTTGAATTCCTCATGAATGATATAATTATATCTCCTGATAACTTCTGTCATAGTTTGTTATTAGTTTACATGTTTAATGATCATTTTTGTTGCCTTGGAATTTGGACTTTTTTGAAATGTGATTTGTTCTTTATTACTTAGTAAATGTGATCTGTAGTAACGTGTCTGTTAAGCGCTGATGTTTTCTTCTATATCGATGCCTGCAGACAATTATGTACCTCAGTTGGATTGGAAAAGCACAGAAAATTTTTTTAAACAGAGGAAACACCGGAAATTCCAAAGAAGTTCTAGAAGCCGGGTACTTAGATGAATCAGCGATTAACACACAAAATTACCACAGATCAAATTTAATAACTAATAAAAAATAAATCAAAGGATAAGAAAGTTCGAATTCCTAGTCAACCAATGACAACAATGGTTGCCAGGAAATATAATTATATTAAAACAATTAGTCCCTTTGATAAATTTGAATAAAGCATTTAGAAGACAAATTTCGCGAGATGACATCATTTCCTAGTTTCTTCACAACCGCTTTACAATAAACATGGTTAACAATAATCAAAATAAAATAAAGGGAATGACAGTTACTGTTATACAAAACAGCAGTACAATCTAATTATCAATCATGTTTAAATATGTCAAGTAGTCCATGGTGCGCGAAAGTTGAAGTCTGTTGTTTTTTGTACACATAGTCTAGGCTGTATGTGAATAATGCAAAGTGCTTCCATCACCTTCACTAACCTTGAATTAGAGTTATATGAAATAATTGTGAAACAGTCATTAATATTGATTTTGTGACCAGACATTAATAAGCGCCTTGCAGTGGATGTTGCTGGATTTCTAATCAGATTAATTACACTGGGATTTTCTATATTTTAATAAGCATTTTTGAACATGCTCTTTTCGACAACACTGGAACATTCTATTGGTTAAAACTATACAGGTGTCACTGCAACTGCAGGTGAACTTGTAGATACAGTTTGAAGCAGAGTCCACATAATTTCATCCTTTAATCGCAGGTACAGGGATCGAAAATCTTCGGCATCTGAGAGAAGGAGATGCGGCGTAGAATGTGCGTTTGATGGCTGACCGAAGTCTTTTAGCTGTCAACCGCATAATCTGGTCACCCTTGAATGGTAGGTTAATAAAGATAGATTTCTTTGGTACAGAAGCTGTCTTTCTTAGATAAGGTCTATCCTTACTGTGAAAATTGATAAAGTTTTCTGGATAACCATTAGCTTATAAAACTGAATGTATATGTCGAAGCTCATCCACCAATGTATCACTCGTGCATAATTTTCGGGCGCTTGAGAGCAAACCTTTCACTAGGAGACATTTATACTGGATCAGAACAAAACTGGTGAAATGAAGATATTGTCCACTCCACTTCTGTTTGAGAAAAATAGGTCGCCAGATCAATGAGAATTCAGATAAGTTCACTTCATATTAAAGCTTGCTCTGAAGATGTTACCTAAAAGGATGGCAAGAGCTTCGCAATTAGATCAGCCAGCTCAGAGAACACAACCGAATTAAGAAATATTAAGTATTAAATCACTGTCACATTCCTATAGAACTGATTGTATCTGCTGTAACTGTGATTCGAGAGATTTATAATTTAATTACTGACGTACTAGTGAAACACACTGATCAGTCTCTTAAAAATACAACAGCTGCAGTAGCTCTTAGTCGAGGAGAGAAACTGCTAACCACTTAGTGCGGTGACAGCATTAATAGTTTGTGGTTAGCGAGTTATTAAAACCAAAAAGGAAAACATGGGCAATTTGTCTATTTTTGTAATTTCCCGTTATCGACTTGTTTGGGCTGCATTGGCTACTCTTCGTCAACAGTATGCAAATTAGAATTACAGACAAATAAATAAAATGACCTATTATAAAATGATACATACCTTATTCGGCACACATTTTATGTCATAAGAAAAGTGTGAGGCACCAAACCAACTTACTGCCTAACACTAAGTAAACGACCCTTTTTATTGTTCTTTCCATTAATATATTGTCATTACTATTTCCATTTTGATTCTAATTTCACACTCAGATTCTTATTGACACTGTTGTCAGTGTTAATGCCGTTTTAATTATTTCCCCCTCACTATGTAATATGAAGAGAAAATTAGGTGCAATATTGTGATACATGCTGAAGATTTCACACTGTATCAAAAGTACCAAAATACCAAAAGTACTGCTACTGTTAATTCTACTATTGCTGTCAACAAACAGCATCAGACGTGTAGGCGGTTCATTATTGCCTGTTGAGGGGATACACTAGTACAATAATGAAACGCACTGTTTGAAACTGTTAGCCTTATGAATGCACAGTGTTCACGGTTAGATTAGTCTGCATATCTCTTCACCTAATGCTTTGGTTACTTTCATCAGCAACTCTCCTCTTAGTTTCTTAGTTCATTTTGCTCGGAAAATATCATTTATCGTTTCATACTCCAGTAAACCTCTAACTACGAAGACTAATTTATTCTGTTATTTCTTATTTAAAAGCTATATCTTTTGGAAATGAAGACATTGATGAAACATGCGTCCAGAATCCTGAAAAGTTGATTTCATTTGGTTCTTTTGTAAATATCCTCGTTATCTTAGCTTGCAGCTTGTACACACAAGAAGAATTATATATCAGTGAAAAAGGCCACAAAAGGTAAACGTTATTGTTTATATCATATAAAGACACTGAAGAAAACATTTTATATTCCATTTTAAATAGCTAGGACATCAAGAGTGAGTCAGGACTTAGGATTAAATAACTTGACATTGGTTACTTTTCAGCCACCAGTCAGTTCTTTGCAAACTTGAACAGCTCAGCATTTTTAAACACTCTTAGTACTCAGAGTAGGCCAAGTGCAGTGGGGAATAAACGTTTAGTTATCAGTCAAACATAAAAATCACTTGTTTAACTTACAGGACTTTTTAATTGTAACACATTAAATAGTGTGTTACGTCGCACATATTACATAATAATTAGTTTTTCTGAAACACTGCGTCAGTAGTATAACCTCAAGCCGATAGCACCTATTCTAAATCTAATTAGGAATCTAAATCATCAGTGACTTAGGTAGTAATTTCTTGTAATCATCTACTTAAAAAAATTAGCTTTCAAAAACCCATTTCTGAAGTTTTTTTACTATTAGGAGAGGACCATTTAAGCCGTTAAAATTAACTTGTATAATAGTTAGTTAAATAGTAGGTGGCATAACTAAATGAACTTCCCCTTATTACTTAACATCAAACAGAAAGTAAGAAGAATGGGTAAACCAGAGTGGAATTAATGCAATTTAAGTTTATGGGATGCTATAAAACAAAAGGAAAAGTGAAGCAAATAATGAAGCAGAATACTATGCTCACTAATAATGAGAATTAGGATTCAGCTTCACTAAATTTACTAACTTTAGCTTTTGATGACCACGATGGCCCTAAACATACAGATGTAAATTGTTTACAAGGCGTAGACCAACAATAAGTGACTTCATAATCATCCTTTACGTTCTTTCTACTTAGCCGTATTTTTCTGACATGCAAATTGACGTGAATCACGGATAGATATGAGAAAAAAATGTCGCACTTACTTCATATTATGAGAGTTTGTGGTTTCATCAACTAATTTATTCATTTTACTTCAGAGTCTACGCTGATTTCCGCATTACTCACATGGTGGTCCTACAAAATGTAACACAAGCAACAATTGACAAACAACCCGAGTTTTCATAAGTCTTTTACTTTCGATGACCATATTTTGCACTCAGATGGTAAGAAAGTAGGCACCACTGAACCAGACAGTCAGGTTTTACCTGCATTGACTATCGGTTAGTTTGGCGAAAGCTGAATAAAATTTCTTCACTTGTAACAAGATTTCGTTAGCTACCAACCGATCACTACTAATTCAACTAAAAGCCCCAGTGATACAAACCATTCATGAAGTGGGAGTTTATCTCAAAATGGAGATGCTGTTTGTAAAGTTAGATCTGAAAACGGAAAGAATATTTACAGTAAGGCTAAAAAAAGAATTAAACACATCTATGATACACACGACCAGGTGTGGAAGTGTCATGCAATCGTTCACAACAAACTCTGACAATATCTCAAGTGTTTCAGAAGATATGCTTACTTAATTTCCACTAAAATTCTCTGCAATGAAATCTTTCGCTCACTACTTCATATCATAAAATATGGTTAGTATCGGGAATCGATTGACATGTATTTCAAAATCTGATGAATAATAAATGCACAGTCGATAAACCCACGGAAACATCCGGGAACTTCCGGTATTTTCCAGGTTTGTTGTCATCTACATTAAATTGGAGGTCGTAGAATTAATATTCCTGGGTTTTTGGAGGCTATTTTGGTCACTCCACATCCACTGCGGCTATCAAGGGACTTTCTTTCCGTCTTTAAGCGAGATGAAGTCAGTAAATAATAATCGAGTTTATCTCCCAAGCCTCAGCTAAAATCCTGGCTCATCACTGTGAAACACCTTTGATTATAGTGTAAAGGACTAAAGTTCTATTCACTTTTTAAAGTTCCACATAGATTTCTTAAACTCCGCAAGTCTTGTGTTCCAATGTTAATTACCCATTCAGGATAGTAAGCAAAATGATGGGTGACCATAAGCCAAACTATCACCACTTACCGTTCTGTTTGTCTTTCTAAAAAGAAGCCTATACACCCAGTAGATGCGAGTCAAAGTCTTCTAGATTTTCAGCGAGATAATATATTAGACGAGCCTGAATATATGGTTAGTGACCAGAATTCACTTTATTTCAAATAGTGAGTATTCTTATTGTGAATCATGTGATTTTATGATATGCATACAACTATTTTGTTGTTTAACGTTGTAAATAATTCCCTTAATTAACTCAAAGTTTTCATTCAGACAGAGCTTTGTTCCACTTTCTACCTGTTTCACTGTCTCACCAAGAAATAAACTAAGATGTTTTTGAAGATCTCCAGATTGCCTGAAGCATCATTTTAGAAATCTTTACCGTACTAGTCACAGTACGAAAAGTAAACATCGGAGTTTTCGAGTATGTATGCGTCAATTAGAAATTAATGTAGAACTATCCCACGCTAAAATAATCCGTAAGTCTATATTGATACTACAGAGTCGTATACATTAGTACACCCTGAACAGTTTTACCAGAAGAATGATTTATCTAATTATGTGGAACATTTAACTTTACATTTTCAAGTTCAGTACTTCCGTTTAACGGATCATTTGTAAAAGTTTATTTCCGAGTGAAAAAGTAATCCATTTTAGAACCAAGATTCACTTTACTTAATAAATATTTTCACCCGGTTTTTTCTCCTCATTTTCCTACCTTATTTTTGTGATCGTGGCCAGTGGACATTTCGACCTATGCTGACAAAATTTCGGTGGTTTATGTATATGAATATGAATGACAAGTATATGTGTGATCAGAATACGTTGCATAAATGTATTATGCATTTCAGATAAATCACTTCTTCTTATTGTTTTGTCAAAATCCATAAGGTTAATTAAAGTTAAAGTTAACACTATCTGTTATACCCTTCCCTTGTCACAGTGTAATCATATAAAAGATATATATGTATATATAGAGCACACTAAACTGCCATATTTTTGTCACCAGTGTGCTTAACAGTGCTTTGCATAAACATTGTCGAAAGTCTTTACTACTTTTAGGCGTACACAAGAATAAGTCATATAAGACAGATGAAATCTTTTATTTAGTAAGGAAACTTATAATTGGCTTGTTTTTGCGGTTTCATAGTCAATCTTTTCTTGTAGGTAAATGCTTCATGAATAGTTTCTATATTCACTTATATTTTAGCAAACCAAGCGATGCACTGCTTTGTTTATTAACTCAAGCAATCTTTCCAAATGCCTGCAAAGCTTCTGGTATTTTATATCAAGATTCTGAAAAATCAAAAGAAATCCATTTATTTTTACAACCACTTTATCAAGCTTATAGATTTATCGTACATATGAAAAGGAGAGTAAGTGATATCTTCCAAATAGTTACTGAAGATCTAAATTCCTATTAACAATTTACATGTTCGACTAAAATATACAAAATACAGATGGGACTAAATCATCAGTCTTGAAGTCTGCTGACTAACCTTATGGTTAACAGTTAAGTTACGAATTAAGCAGTTTTCTCCAAGTTTACTGTGTCTCCAGTTGGATGAGATACATGGACTTAATGCAGAGAAACCAAAAGTTGTATGCCTTTTTTATTTAAGTAATATAGGATATTAGATCAGCAACTACGCTACAGTATTCATCCTGTTGAATTTTGTGTATGTAATCTGAAGACTGACACATCTGGTTTGATCACAGATAATGTTTTATTTTCAAGTGTAATTGCTATCAAGTAATGGGTTGATTGTAAGCAGTTAGGTTTCTTTAGTAGTTACATTTTGCACATACTCAAATACAATCATATCTTGACAATTTTGAAACATAAAAGAGATTCAGTTTCAGAATACATTTGCCAGTCATTAATTCAGAAGAAGTTTTAAAAGCTGCGTTAAACTAATGTGCGTAAAACTTGGACAGTACTAATGTTAAATCAGGGCTCCTACATAGGCCAGAAACTTAGCGCGTCACGAAAAATCTTTTCTAGCAATCTGTAAACTTCTATTAACGGCTGCCCTCGCTTACTCCACACTGAACATCAGATGTACGGCCTGAAAGGATCAGCAATAAGGAACTCTGGCAACGAACCAACCAACAAATATGCAGAAAAAGCGGAAGTTGATCGGACACACGATGAAGAGGCCGCTGATTAACACTGCTCACCAGGTCTTCAATTCGAACCAGAAAAGCAAAGAACGAGTTTGGCGTGAAAGAATGACCAGGTGTTTGAATAAACAGCGCAACTGTGTAGCCAGCTATTAAGGTTGCAGAGAACATGGTGAAATAGAGATGTGTTGATAAAGCCGTATTTTCCTCTCAGAAACCAAGAGAATAATAATAATATAAAACTTGGGAACTATGGTGGCATGTGATTCCATATTAATTTTTTTTTTTGGCATACATCACACGGTAAAACAGTATTATTTATTGGAAGACGTTTTGAACACAATTTACCGCTCATAATATGAAATTACATATTACTCTAGTGTCCGAGTTGTACACATATATTGAGATGAAATCCTTTTTTTAAAACAATAATGCATTCTCAAACTAATTCAGCTAACGTGCCATAAATCTTTTTTTTAATTTTCAGTAATAAAACAAATAAGTGAAATATTCTCACCAAAAATGTAACTCTTGAACACAAGCCACAAATGGGGAAGAATTTTTTTTATCAAACTACATAATTTATTACATATTTGTTTGCCATAGTTTGTAAACACTGTCTTAAAATTGAACTGAGATCTTGTTATTATTTTTAGTTTCAGACAACAATATCGCGACCACCATACACTATGACAATAAGAACTTTTATCTTTATTCTCAAGGTAATGATGAAAAGCTTTGGAAGTAAAACCGTATTACTATTACACCATTTATCGTGACTTTTTATAGTAAATCTATATTAATCACAGCAACATATTTCTTAAAATGATATCTGCTCACTTCCATATCTCATAATGAAATTTACAGAAATATTTAAGTACTACTCTTATCACTGCAGTAATCTTTTAGGCTGCCGTTAGACCACATGAATATGTTAGTAGCATTACTAGTTTAGCGAAAACTACATTAAGAACTAAGTTGTAAATAGCTAAATTTATTTTATCTCATTCTGGCAGAATTCACGATGATAAAAGAAGTATTCATGCAGCATAGTGCATTTAGTAAACTTATTTACTACACAAAAACATTTTGAAACCGAAACTGATCTAATAATCTCACTTCTTACAGAGTTAATTTTAATCACTACTAGTCCAACTTTCACCAGTTTTCACAGCATGAAACATCATTATATGGTAGGTGAGATACAAAAGATAAATTTCACTGATAAATGATAACATTTTCAGCATGTAAGAAACCATACCCAACAAACATTTGATGCATGAATTTAACTATCGCCTAGGCTGTCTAACGGTTGATCAAAAGGAATGTATCTAAGTGCTAAGAAACATAATTATTCATTTAACTAATTTGCCGCAATAAATGTGCTAGGATTATGACTTAGTTGATTTCTTAGTAGTGATAACTAAAATTTCATCAGTCAATTTGAAATGTGGTCACCAATCAAGGAGATACGCCACCGTATCGCCCTTTTCGAACTAATTTTGGGTGGTTAGAATCAGTTAGCAGAAAACCTTGTACCTAGGTTTTGTGCCCATTAGCACTCGTCAGGAAGGTGCAGGTATTAACCTCAGAGGAGGTACCGTCTTCATAAGGGTTGCAGATGCGGTGTGATGACGAGTGCCAATAAGAACGAAACTTAGGTTCTTAACTTCTTGCCAATTATCGCCAACAATGTAACACAAATTTGGGGAATTTTAGCTTTTAGATCTCAGATGGAAATCAACTAATTTATTTTAACAGTACAACGTCATAATTAAACCACTTTTTCATCAGAGCATAAGTTTATGAGGTATATGATTCTTTCTCAAGACGCTAATGTGCCGAAGGATAGAAGAGAACTGATTTAGTTTTCACCAAAATTAGGTAGTAGAATTCATATCAATAGTTAATATCATTTATTTTATGGAAAGTGTGTGCGCCGGTCGGATATCGAACCCCTGACCACATGAATGGTTGGCAAGCACTCTATCTCTGAACAATCGATGACTGAATTCACTTAATGATACATCCATTAACTGGGCATTTATATACTGGTTTTTAGGAGAACCAAACATACCTATCCCTGCCTCTTGCGAGGCAAGATCAGCATACAGTATCACCCTACGGTGCAGCCACTCGAGAGCTTTCTCTTTCGGTTGGAACAAATATTAGTACCAAGAAGTGAAATTTCGCCTTCACTCCATTTATGCGTCTATTTATACCATGTGCGTCGGTGGCACAGTGGTTAGGACTCTCGACGACCATGCACATGGTCCGGGGTTCGAGCCCACACCGGCGCACACCAGATATCTATGGTCGGCCTGCAAAATTTGGGCTACCTATATCCATGCTGAAAATTCCATACTTGTGCCAAAAATACAGTGTGGAATCAAGCTGTTTGTGCGTCGGTGGCACAGTGGTTAGGACTCTCGCCGACCATGCACATGGTCCGGGGTTCGAGCCCACGCCGGCGCACACCTGATATCTATGGTCGGCCTGCAAAATTTGGGCTACTGATATCCATGCTGAAAATTCCATACTTGTACCAAAAATACAGTGTGGAATTAAGCTGTAAATCAAAAATAAAAAAAATAAAAAATAAAAAAAATTATACAAAGGCGACATTAAAGAGACATTACATACAGGCTCATCATTATAGCTTATTAACTATCAGTTTTGACAACCTAGTCAGCAATTTAAATAAAGCTTTAGATAAATAGTCAACATTTCACAAATTTATGTATGAATTCTGTTTCAAAATTTTTGATACTTACAGCCTACTATAAAGTTTTACAGGATTAATAATAACGTAATTTCAGGATTTCATCATGAACTGACATCGGTTAGAGAACCATTCGAAAACTGGAGAGTACAGGACATCTGTTTCGTTCTAGTCTGGGGCTTTTCAGTAGTAAGCACCCACTGAAGTTCGAACACAGCACCTAGTTATAAGTCGAGCTCGTAGACCATTAAGCCACTGGGATCCAACCCCAGTGAAATCCTGAAAGCAACCAAATGTCTGCAAACCAACATTTGAATTGTGTAAGTGTCTTATAATTAATATTAATATATCAGTAAAGCACCGAGTCGTTCACAAAAAGAAGTGAAAGAATAGCTAACACGTATTTTCCAAACCTCTTTTGGTCTGTGTGTCTAAAATAACTTCTGTGAGGATACTGGAATTAAATCAGTTGGTATTGTGAATGCTATTTTCAAATATAGTTATGTATATCTGTCGAAAGATGGTTTATGTTTCATGTCACACACAATCGAAGACTTACAAGCGAAAACCGACAAACTGGTCGAAGAAGCAGCTGGCGAAGTCAGGACTCCAGGTGAACATAGACAAGATGGAGGTTATGAAAATAACCAACCAACAACATCAGAAACAACATCCAGCGTCAATCACCATCAACGGGAGGGATTCAAAAGAGGTTACTTCATTCACTCACTTATCTAGGGAGCATTGTCTCAACTACAGACAGTGGGAACGGACGAGGATGTCAAATCGAGCGAGAATCGGGAAGGCGAGAAACACATTCGTCAACCTGAAATCAATCTGGAAATCTTCGTCACTCAGCCAGAATCAACAACAAAATTCTGTCGATCGGATTTTCAATACAAACAACGTCGAGTTAGTCAGTTCTTCTATACGGATCAGAAACTTGGCGGGTGGGTCACAAAGAATATTTCCAACAGCCTGTTGCAGACCTTTATGAACAACTGTCTTCGCTGGCTCTATACTGAAGATCAGATGGCCGGAAAGAATCACCAACAAGGAATTATGGGAACAAACAAAGCAAGAACCAATCGCCAACCAACAAATATGCAGGAGAAAGTGGAGATGGATCGGACACTTGCTGAGGAGACCGCTGGGTGACATCGTGCTCGCGTTAGACCATTGCTCGAGTGGAACCCGAAAGGGAAGCGGCGAGTGGGACGTCAGTGTAAGGGTGACATGGAGGAGATCGTGGGAAGAGGAGTTGAAACAGTATGGACTAACATGGATGCAGGTGAAAAGTACAGCAGCAGAAGACAGAAGCAAGTGGAGACGTGCAGTTGAAGCCCTATGTTCCACTAGGAACGCAAGGGAACAATAATAATAATATCTGTCAAAAACTATTTCATTGTGATATTATTTATTTTGAAAAAAATATTTTATTAATACCTGAAAATTATTTTTCGTTGTTGTAGGATTTTAACATGTTGGACAGTAAAATTACCGTGAGGGATGTTGTTGAAATATTATGCAAATGTAATCCAGTGGCCGGTACAATAGATGAATACAATACTGATACAGAGGTATGTGAAATTTAGTATTTAAATGAATTTATGAGAGAGAGAGAAAGAAAAGTAGAGTGCACAGCTACCATCACATGGAGAAGTTCTAATTGACAAAAAAGATGTAACACCGTCTATAATGTTCACTGAACTGAAAATTCTATAGTAGATAATTAATTTATGAAACTCAAGTTATGATTATTATTTTAAAAATCAGCAGTGATATTTTAAGCAATAAACTAAGATAATACTCGAAACGATTGGAGAATTGAACACTAACTTAATAAAAATTACATACGGAACTCAAATTCTTACAAATTAAGGCTGAAATATTCACCTACTCCATTTCTGCTCATAAAGTGAAAATGATTTAGGAGTGCAAAGTGGCAACTCAGTTTTAATTAGCTTTTTAAGTCTACAGATATCATGGTTGAAACGTCTTTAAAAATAAATGTGTAACAGAGAATATCTGATGACGTATATTAAGTAATACCGTAGCATGTACGAAAATTGAAGTAATGATGCATTTTTTTGAAATAAAATACACCTGTTATTACTTCAGCTTTTAGGGATTACAGTTTACTCATAAGCCGTGCTGCGTTTTAAATCTATAGCTTATGACACTGGTTGAGCTAAAAGAAAGCACTGTAAGCTCTTTCAGATACAAATTGAATAAAATAAAACTGTAACCTTAAAATTCAGTTGTTGATTGTCACTCCCTAGAACACTTACGAATCGATTATACTATTACATTAGAGTTAGTCATATTCTAAACCGATACCATTTGTTAAAATCATACTGACTGTCAGCAAGAGAATATGTCCTTAAAGAGGGGAGGGGATATATGAGACCACAATAACTGGATTACAAAATAAAGTGATTCAGCAATGAAAACAGTAAAACTGAATCACTCAGACCATGGAAATTTCTTTTAGGGTTTCAATACACATTAGACATAAAACCTTACTAAAATGATGGTCACTTCTGGAGGTTATTTTAGTCTTTACCATTCAGCAGTTTAAATATATGTATACTGGTCCGAACATCTGTTTGCTACTGTAAAATTGCAGAATGAATGAATTTTTATGTTAGCTTAGCTGACAGCGAAATATTTAAAATTCGATAGGTAACGAGCCATGTGACAACTCCTAGTGATTTTCATACCGTTCTTACTGCTATTAACTGAATGCGTTTCGAATAGAACATAAGGTAACAGCACCATATCTGCATTGCTCTCGGTTCTTCTAAATCACTTTCACCCAAATGTACGACTTCCCAAAGCTTTCACTTTCTCCTTACATGGTCTCCTCCATGACACTCTAAGACACCTAACTACCTGATTTGGAACGAGCCTCAGATCAGGAAAGTGAAACACAAAACTTCCTTTAGATAACTCCCAGTGATGATGAATGCTGCTTGCTGCTGGTCCGTCGGGTGTCTTCATCAATATGTCGTCTCGATTGTCAACTAATGTCATTTGTTCACTGCCTCATCTTTCGTCTTTCTGACTTCGGCTCGATTAACCTATGGCATGTGCGAGTGAAGACACAGACAAGCCTCGAAATTTAGATTATAGAAAGTTAACGTGGAATCAGCGTTTCCTCATCTTTACAATACCCCCTCAACCAACCTTTACAATGTGATCCAGTTCATCACAATCAGGATAACTATCAATGATAGTAGTCAAGCTGGCATTAATACTGTATTCACTTTGAATTCTTCTATACACTGTTCGTTGTGAATCGTTTCTCATATGGTACCGTCATATAGCCGAGGTTCATTAACGCTGTCAGCACTACACTAAGCAGTATTGGAGCAACTTACAAAGTAATTTGTAGTTGACGCTGTCGGAGGCCTTCCGAAAGTCGACAGATTCGAAGTAGGCAGTCGACTGACATTCTAGGCTCTCTTAGATAACTACGTGTGGTGTTGCATCTTAGTCCACGCGATACTTGATCTCCTGTAATCCAGTCTGCTCATCGAGAATTCTCGTATCCAAGGTGTCTTCCAGCTTCTCCAGTGTGATTCGACAGTACAGTTTGCTTTATGTAGAAAGAAGCATAACTTCGTGACAGTTCTCGCATATGTTTTATTCCGCCTTAGTTACCAGTTCGACAAGAAAGCCTCTCTTTCGATAACAACGTACCCATCCTATCTTACCTTCACATATTCTTTGTTATTGACATGAACATGCCAGCTAAGGTCTTCGAGGGAGTTTCTAGTGCTTTCGAGTGGGAGATTACATGTGACCCTGGTGCTAACAGGTTGGCTGTCGGTAGCTCCTTGGCCTTGAATAGGGGATTGTGTTGACTAGCAGTTTTGTGTCTGCCGTTGGCGGTTGATTCAAGTTCCCTTTAAAGGGAATAGTCCAGTGTTTTCTTCCTCCCGCCTCCTTGGCAAATTTTCTCTTCCACCGTCTTCCACTGGCTATGTCTGCGTTGAGCTCTTCCTGAATAGCTACCCGGTTATTTGATGTAGTGTTCTGAGCTCCATCTTAGCAGCAGCCTGTTCTGTTTCACTCGTCAGTGTGTCGTAGAAATGTCTTTTGTCCTTCATGCCACTCTTATTCACCCGATTTTCTCAATGCACTGTAGACTGAATTAAACCTGTCCTTTCGATGCCAATCTCCCAACTGTCTCATTTTTCGTTTAACTATTCTTCCCTTCTCTGCCAAATACAGGTGCCTGTGGCCAGTCATCCCTTGCCCTGACACTTCTTTTTGCCCAAGATTTCTATGTTGACCTGCTTCTTCATCGCTTTGAAAGAGTTCCAGTGTTTTCCAACCACCTTTCCTCACCGACTTTGCTTAGTGTATCCTGATGACCGTCATGAGTGAGTCGTTTTTAGTTTTGTCCCTCAGTTTTCAAGTGTTCAACTGAAATCGTGGTATGTATCTAGGTTTTTCGAAGGCTTCCAGTCTCATCTTGAAGGTTCCTTGCATTAGACAGTGGTCCGAATTAGCATCCACTTTTTTTCTCAATTTTGTGTCCAGTAGGTTGCGTCTCCAATTTCTTGAGATTGAGATGAAGTCTTTCTGAATTTCGGTGCGCTGATCTGATGAGACGCTTGCTTCTTTGGGGGTATCCTAGTGGTTGTACACACTGTTTCCGATCCTCAAATCATTAGGAGTGTCGAATTCTGCAAGCAGTCTTCTTTTTTCATAGCAAAATATTCACTATTACATGGTACCTTGGTTAGTGTTAAGTGACTGCGCGCACGTGTTCCTCCTCCTAGTATTCTATGTAAAATGACCTCCAGAAGGTGTTGAAAAGTCAGAGCTTGTAAAATGAAATCTGAAGAGCGAAACAACTAAGTATATAGCCTACTTTATTTGCGCTTACTGCCAACATTTGTTCCTTCATACCTCTTCACCAATTCATAACTGTATGACTATTGCTAGTAGTTCGAATCAGAGAAACGTCATTACTCAATCCATTCTCCTACTTTCGTGTCGAAGCTTTGAACCAGAGGCTAAATTGGACAGTAAATCTTACACGCAAAACTGTAGCACTTCGGTGCTTTGGTAGATGTTTTGTATTATAGATACAGACAGAAGAGTCATATGAGATTGTTCACTAAGTTCCACCTGGTCATCATAATGAGAAAGCTAAATTAAGTTAAGAGATGTTATGAGATTACTTAACTAGTTTTTATGGAGTTACAGTTGTATGAATAGTATTAGGCCGTAAAGTATAAAAATCACCACCATACGATTTCCAGTGGACAATCGTCTGTGTTCTCTGGCTTTGTTGGTTTGTAAGAATGAGGAAAGATATTAATATATAACTGCTCTTCAGAAGGTTTGCTTGTATGTTGATTTATGGGAGTTTGGATGAAGCAAAGAATCAGTTGCATCGTAAACTATTCATTTTGCCTCACAAACAGACTATTTAGATACTGCCAAATTAATGCTTTAGAAGGGAAGGCAGAACAAACGGAAAAGTATGTTAGATGTATCTATACAGTTTTATGCTGACAGACTGATAGCAATCATCGCACCTCACAATTTTGTTTAGATGACTACCTATACCTATTCGTGACTAACTTTAAGAATGAGGAAAGGCATTGTCTTACATTGTGGTATTTGATATTAGACGGACAAGGAACAGATGTAGGTCACCCAGCAGTAGTTTTTCAACAGACTTGGTGTGAGCAACATTAACGCTGTTTCTGGAACACTTTCATAAAATACCGTCAATAATTTTTGCATACATATGCACACCTACACGTTAACTTTGCATCAAAATAAATGACCAAACATATATCTGAGTATGATAGCACAACCCATTCTGAAGAATGTACAGTTTGCTGTAGAAATAGTATTGAAGAAAACCGACCATCTTCATTTCAACATCTTGTAAAAACCTATTTCCGCAGATTTATTCCGACCTGTCTATGCGAAAGACTGACTCTAGCGACATTCCTACATGATGGTATAATTAATAAACGTCTCCGCAACGGCAGTAAGCTACAGTGAGTTGTGAAAGCAAAAGAAATAGGAAAGACATAACTAAGTAATACTTGCTGACTACTTAGGTTCGTCAAGTGAGGTTTTGGACAATTGAAATGGCCTCCCAGAACAAAAGTGTTCAATTGACTTTGAGGGAGTGACGAGTGAAAAGCATATTGCTTGGTAAATGGTTTGCACCTACCAAAAACTAGGTGGTATCACATTTCTGGTCTGAATAGACTCCTAGTATGAGGAGAGTGGGTGAAACGACTGTATGTTTTGACTGAATTACTTATTCAGGAAATTTACATAAACAGCATGGATACAGCAGGGCTAGTTTAGTATGTACACCCTCCATTACCTTTGGCGCAAGAGAGGTACCCAGCTACTCTCCGAGGGATGTGCGTACCATGTGTAGTTCCTCTCTGTCCTACTTTACGTCAAAAAGACATAAGAGTAGACCGGAAATTTTCAGCCACATATATCTGTGTCCAGTTCTTCATGTGAGGTACCGCAGTATGATCGGTAATAATGAGGTTAAAGCAATGTCAGATATGAAGGTTGAATCATGCGTTGAGGCTGTGCTGCTGCACTGGTTAACATAGCTCTGATATACGTTATGCGACTCTAAAGACTCCCTCCCTCAACAATCAATGTTTTCTGGAGTAAGATACGGTTGGAAAAGAGTTATGAGTAACCTTATCCAAAAATAGCATCTCCGCTAATTCGTAATTATAAATAAACAAATAGTTTAAGCGTTGATATTTACATAAATTGATGTCTTTTTCACTAGGTACTACCCCGACCGTTACTTTACCTGGTATGCTAGTATGGACAACTCTGAATATCAGCGAGAAGTTTTTTGAGGAGAAATTTAATATATGATGTGCATAGAAGTGACTGAGCAGAGGATATTGAATATATATTCACTAGACAGGATGGCTAAAGTCCTAAATAATTTTTTAACCTTATCGTAAGAATGACAGATAAGATAGATCTCAACAACTTCTGAACATATGAAGGAAATTTAGAACTCCATATAGCTACCATTTAATATTCATCCCGCTAATCCCGACCAGTACTCAGTTACGTAAGAACAGGCAGATCGTTTGCATTTACACCTGATTGGTATGCATGTATTCAACGTCTATTTTGACTTGAACTCTCTAACAAACATGAAATAGCGTATTCCATACAGCTTGATACCCTTATTAGTTTGAATAAAGAGAGAACGAACATATAAGCTGGATAATGCGTGGTCGTTTTATCTCGTGGATTCTGTTCAGCTGCATACATCCTAAATCACTTGTAAGTTACAAAATCTCCGAACATACTGTTTACAATGACTTTAAGTTATAGATGGAGAGTATAGGTACCATAATTACAATGATGATGCAAATAAACAGTTATTTAATATTAAAAGAGTAACTGTACATTTAGTAATCAGACAAGGAATTGAGTTCAGATTTATCTTGGAAACAAGGATGGATTAGATAAAAAAATACAAGACAGAACAAGAGAGTGAATACATACATATTACGGTAGAGAGTTCAGGAGGTTGAGGGTGAAGTAAGATTATAAAAATGATAAAATAATTTAGTAGACCTGGAGACTTTTTATGACTACGAGGTCTTCCTCGATCTTATAGCTTCCTTGCTTTGCTATAGAGCGTTTTCACCAGGCTCCATTTGTAGCCGCTCAAGCAAAAGCTGTGATAATTCAGGTAGTGACCAGTCCAAGTTTCTTTCCTATAGATGGACTTTTCAGTCGTCCCAACATTTCTCTTTTTTATGTTGAGATCTAAAAAGCGGAACTGATTGTCACGCTCATGGTCCACTGTAAATGCTATGTTAGGGTGAGCTGCATTTAGGTTTTCAAACATCGTGAAAGCATGATCCCTATTATTGCAAACCACAAACGTGTTGTCAGCATACCTGCAGTAACACGTGGTTCTCTCTATTCCCGGCTTCATTCGTGTCTGCTCAAGATGAACGATGAATATGTCCGCAAAAGAGCGTCACTTTATATACAGACTTTTAAGTTAACAAATGCATAGAGATGGTGAGTTGAAAACCGAATTCATAATTCTGAGTAAAAAATCCTGATTAATAAACAGTTATACTCAACAGAGTGAACCATGTTATTCACTTATATGTAAGCCATAGTGGTTATTCAGCTGATTTTAGCTAACAAATAAACTGATTTCATCTAATTTCTTAGTGCATAAATCACGCATTCAAGTTACTGTACACTTTCTTCATTCTTTGTATTTCAGCTCACATTTTTTGACTTTTTTGAAGCACTTATTCATTGTACGCTAATTATATTGTTGAAGAAAGATGAGCCACAAGAAAATCTCATTGAAGAGAAAACGAAAGTCAGTATGACTGATCTACTTGTGCGACGTGAGTGTATGTTTTCTCCCTTTTCTATTACATGTGTCTACATACAGATGAAGAGAGAGAGAGACATTGTACTTTGCATACTTTGTTCATCTCAAAACCAAAACACTAATTACTCCTTATGTGGTCAGTTTAAAGGAATAAACGAATTATCCTTATTTATTATAAAAAACTAAGTGTTTTTAAAGTATAAATAACTTTATGTGGAATTTATGTCACATCTGTGACCAATATTTATTTCGTGCGGAGTAATCAGATTAGTCTCGACCGAAACCTGCTACCTTCACATAAGGTTCGGGGTTTTATATCGCAATTATTAAACAAGTTACGCTACCACAAACTAATATTACTGCAGGTTCTAACATGCCAGAAATGATAGTGGTTAAACTAAAAGCTGTCGCCATTATACTGCAAATTTTTCACAATATTTTTGGGGGATCTGAGAGAGAATTCGTACTACTGACGAATAGGGATACAACATAAATAAGGTGTTTCCCTTGGACTAACAGCAAAAAAATGACGCTGCTTCTCCACTCTGAGGAAGTACAATACTTAGAAGGGGTAAACCCCAAAAACCGCAAACTTTGACTTACCTTGTGATGGTTCGTAGTCGACCGTAACGTTCTAATACAAATGCTACTCCAAAACCAACTCTAACTGGTTGTGTGATTCCCCGCAAGCAGTAGTATCCTTAGTCTTGTGACTTATCAGCACCAATGCTTCTTCTCTTTCAGGTGTTTCAAGAGATTAACTTCCATGGTGTCGAAGTCGGTAACAACCACCACATAAAGCTCTCATCATCACTCACCTCCATCTTCGTCACAGTCACCATGGTGCTTTCCACCTACTGTTAATACTATTCAGCGGGCAGGTCCGTCGACTTCTCTTAACTCTGAGACCACTATCACAGATGAGAGCGGGAAACACAGCCAATAGTCTCTTAAAACCACCCTGTTAACTTCATATCAGAGTATTTAACGTCGAGGTCCTTTGCCAAATTGAATAACAGATATCATTGACCATCTCCAGCCATAGATTTATGTTGTGCTTTGGAGACACACATACAAGACCCGAGTGTGGCTATTCCCTTAACCCTACCCAGCCGAAAGAGTGAATTTTTAGAACACACCTAATGAATGTCAGGACAATCTTCGTCTAGTTCACGACCATTCTCAGGTGTATGGATAGGGCAGAAAAATCCATGCTCCCATTGGATAATAGTATGTATGTTCTTCATCTAAACGGATCGGTAAAACTAAGGAATGACTGAGATATCGGTCGATAACTTTTCATGATCTCCACTTACACCTCGAACTAATGTAGTCCACTCCGTCCTCCTTTATGGCTATGAGACATGGCTGCTTAAAGTAGAAGATATGAAATAGCTAGCTGACTTTTATCAAGGGTGTTCGCCTTATATCTTCCATGGTAGATGTTGTGTGTGATTTGGTGAGTAATATTTACGTTAGGCGTCAAGTGTTCGATAACGATGTCATGCATTACTCATGCCTAACCATTGCCTTCCTAGACGAAAAATCCTAGCCAGCAGAGGATTGAGTGGGGGAATAGTTACAGGAGGTCAAACTAAAAATTGGCATCAGTCCCTGAATTCTGCGACTATAGGTTTGGGTAAGCCACGTAGGAAAGTGTAAGCTGCCTGGTCGGCGTTCTCGGGACGTAGAGACAGTTAGTGATTTGTCTCAAAGTCGTTCTCACGGACGCAGAAGCACTAACTCTTTGTTATCTCTTGCATATCCCTTAAACCCTGTTTTCTCATGCTGTTATTCTTTGCTACTCAAGTTTCTGCTTATTTTAGTACTTATGAATCACTTTCTCCCGTCTTTTGCCTGACTTTATGTGCAACATATGGAGTGGTAAATTGATCTGTTGCATTTCTGCGCTAAGTTCTGTTTTGAAACTCAATCTGTCAGTCACGTAGATCACTAAAAGTTTCTTCTAAGAAGTCCTCTAGTTACTGATTTATTCTTCATTTAAAGACAGTCGGTACAATATGGGCACCAAGAGTTGCGCTGGATAAAAACAATAAAGCATAATACACAAGAAAGAAGAAGAATGACCCAAGAACAAGGTCATGAATAAAGAAAAGCATATATATATTAGAAGCACTCATCGGGTGTTATTCACTTCATGTTACTTTCAGAAAGAGAGAAAACGAGGACACTGCAGGATCCTCGCCACTGACTACAATTTATAGTCATCTCTGATAACGTCTAAAGACACTGTTTCAAACTATATCTCCGATCCCACTCAGGGAATCGTGATGTACCAATAGATCTTAACCTATTACAACCATTCTTCGTCCCACAATGCCACGTAATCAACTGACCATCCCTCCGCTTTTTCCAACCACTTCAAAGGTCAGAAAACAGTAAAAACAACATGGTAGCATATGTCCAAGTCAGCTAACCCACTGTCTCAAGGTGATTGCACTTATTCAAAGACAACGTCCACCATCTCAAAATACACCCTGTTGGAAATCAGAATTACTTATATGATGAAGACAGAAGGTGCAAGCAATTTTACTCAGACAGTAATGACCGAACAGACAGAGTTGTACCCTTCCTTATTTCAGAAAGGCCAGCTTTCACAGGTGTACTGCAAGACTGCACTCACTGAAGCAATGCACACACAACCCCTGAAGACCAGGTTAACATCATGAGGGAGCCAGAGATTACCAAGGTTAGTGTATGCCATCCCGGATCCCATCATAAGGTTAGAAATCTTATTCGTCACACCTATCCCACCACTCATACAACCACCAAGAGACACAAACTTATAGACTACTTCTAACAGTTCAACTGCAAGGCTGAGTGTGAGTACAAACCAACAACAATCTTGCAACAATAATTTCCATTTATATATCTTTTAGGTGCAGTCAGTGTTGGTCTTTACTGTCTGTCTCATGGGAGATTAGTGGCTCGCTTTGATAAGTGGCGGTAGTAGGAAGGGTTGTCAGTTTACTAACGTCAATCTGAATAGGACAATGTTCATCATCACCAGTAAATCTCAAGATGAACCTGGTACACGTTGAAGCATGATGTATGTCCGGCCATACACCATCGACAGCTGATGGCAGTATGATGTGTTTAAGGCCAGGTTTCATTGCAATGGGGTAGACGCCACCTAGACCTCGACGGTGTCGAACCTGGAACTTGATGTTAGCTAGAAATAGACAGTGATCTCAATAAGGCTGCAGAAGATAGTACCTGTTATCTGACCTACGACCATCTAGTTCCCTCTGACCACCTAAATGATTCTCGTCACAGCCTAAATTTCCTATCTGTACATTCAAATTTCAGCTCACACTACGATATCTATCTGACACGCATGTTCGTGCTCACTCATCGGATGGTAGAACTCATCCTTCGTTACATCAAGACTGTATTTCATCGGTACATGTGCAGAGATGACGAAAGTGCAACGTCTGCCCAATCAGTTGCTTCTTACTCTAGTATAACCTTCTACCTTCATAGTATATACACTGCTGTTATTGGTGATCCAGCAAAATAGTCCAGTTTCATATCTAGGACTTAGTGTTACACCCACACAAGCTAATTCGGATACTGATGTCACAAGGTCATTGAATGACTGCATACGGAAAATGCCTTTCAGTCTTTCAAACAGAGGAACTATTCAAAGCACTACACTGTGATCTTGTGTGCAAGTCTCTGTCATGCAGTATACATTGATATTATGGCTTTCCAGAGTTTTAGCTAGGCCTACTTATTGTCCGATTGGTATCAGTGTATGAACGGTGTAGTCCTCAAGCATGAGTCTGAGGGACGGTTTCAGAATGGGTTTGTTACATATCACATTGGAGGTAAACTTTATGAAGGCAGCTAACTAATAACTAAATGGTGCAGATATTTTTTCTATTGGAGCCTCGGTGGGAACATCATCACTCACTGAGAAATGCAGGTACATCCAGATGACGAGTCCCAAAAAGGACGAAATGCGCATCGCGGATTCCACTGCTAGTCACCATCCACCAATTAAATACTAACTAAGTGGTGCAAATAGTTCAATATTCTAAAATATAGTGAACTACTGAAGAAAGGAAAGGTACTAAAAACCATAAAGATGATAAAAAAAATAATAAAACAGATTGTTCATAAAAACAGAAATTAGTGATAGAATATCAGATAGCTGACAAAATAACCTATGAGGGTTTAAATATGAGTAGGTCTTTCTATTGATTGTTTTTCATACTTTGTACTTTTCTTGACTTAAAGTCTGACCCAACAGCTTCAGAAGATGTATTCCGAAAGTTGCTGAATTCCCAAACTGCTTCGTACACCATTTAGACCTTCCTCATTCTGGACGTCATCTACACAATCAAAGTTTTCCAGCTGATTTAGGAGAAATTCCATGTCCACCAGTCGTGTGATGAGTAACAAACATTCAGTTTTTTTTTTGGATCACTACACGCCATATGAAGGCAGATAATACGACTTATCTGATAGAGGCCATGAACGCATGCCAATATGAGAGCATTTAGAAGGGGAGACTAACTTCCACTCACTCCCTGCCATACTAGCTCACCTACAGTGACAATCGAGACGACACATTGATGAAGACACCCGACGGACCAGCAGCAAGCAGCATTCATCATCACTGGGAGTTATCTAAAGGAAGTTTTGTGTTTCACTTTCCTGATCTGAGGCTCGTTCCAAAGGTAGTTAGGTGTCTTAGAGTGTCAGTGAGGAGGTCATGTAAGTAGAAAGTGAAGTTTTTTGGGCAAACTTGCAGCCAGTTGGAAGTGATGGTATAGAACCGAGTGCAATGGAGATGTGCTGCTTTTGTGCTGTTTTTCAAGCAGATGACAAATAATAAATGGTGATGGCGATATGGTCCATGTTGACTAGTACTAAGTGATCAGAGTCATTTCGCAAGAATGAAATTTTATCAATTTCAGATGATCTGAAACACCAGTATACTTAAGAAATCAGATTTTTGGAAAAATAAATATAAATCGTTAATATTAAGTGCTATATATACATTTCGTATTACTGATTAGCTTTGTATCCTACATATGTAATATCTTCAAACAGAAGGTAGAAGAATGTCGCGCAGACCAAGTTCTTCGAGACT